ACACAGCAGGGCCCTGGCGTGGCCACGTGAGCCGACAAGAAAGAGCTGATCCCGGAGGATGTTTGTCCCCGAAACGACCGACGCTATGAAAGAATTAAAGATGCTGATGTCAACTTAAGACAACCATGGGATGGGGTAGAGTGTGAGCCAAGAGCTCCTGGAGGAAAGGCATTTCAAGAGAAGGAGAAAAGCATGAAAACGAGTGGTTGGGGGGGAGAGAGGCCGAGGTGGGGAAGAAGGAATGGCGGCGACTTCGGCGCTGCCGGAACAGCTGCGCCAACGCCGCGACCAGCGGAGCCGCCGGACAAAGGGCAACGAGGGTGTGGAAGGGAAAACCAACCCAGTGTCTCCCCTGCTCTCCCCCCCTCCAGGCCCAGAGCTCACCTCACTCACCAAAACACACCACACCGTCCAAAACCCTCCACGCCGACGGACGCGGCGCCCTCCACCCCCCTGGGTCTGCCGCCAGCGCGGAGGACACGACACACAGATTTGCCACTTGCAGTAGAGGACACACACACAGCACTTTGTGCCTCTGCCCCAGTCCCCTCCGTGCTCAGGACGTGCTAAGCCACAGGTCAGAGGTTGGGAGTTGGAGGATGAGGTTAGTGCAGGAGGTTCGGAATGTGTCAGTGCACAAAGCCTTGACCCTGACCTGTGACAGTCAGGCTTCATTTCCTCTCACACCCCGAGGCTTTGCCATGGCAGAAAGGCATTTTTATCCCTTGTAGATGCACTGGAGGCTTAACCTTGACCTAGCACAGCCCTCCCTGCAGGCTGAGAGGGCTCTCGGGTGTTACAGATCTGGCAGGGAGGGTATTGTCCCATTATCCCATCCAGCCCTGCCCTCTGGCAGTGGGAAGCGATTCCCCATGTCCTGTCCCTCCAGGCCTTGTCCCAAGTCCCTCTGCAGCTCCCTTGGAGCCCCTTGAGGCACTGGAAGGGGCTCTAAGATACCCCTAGAGCCTTCTCTTCTCCAGGCTGAACACCCCCAGCTCTCCCAGCCTGGCTCCAGGGCAGAGCTGCTCCAGCCCTCAGAGCATCTCCACAGCCTCCTCTGGACTCACTCCAGCAGCTCCACATCCTTCTGATGCTGCTGCAGGCAGCACTGCAGGTGGGGTCTCACCAGAGACCCCCCTGGGGTCCCATCTCATGCCCATTTAGGAACCACACACACATGTATGTCATTCTCACACATCCCTTGGCAGTTCCCATCACAGAGAGGGATCACAACCTCACTGTAAGACACAGACTGTTCACTGAACAGGCTCCAGCCAGGGAAGATAACCTCCCCAGAACTCTCAGAGGCAGCAAACAAGCAGCCCCCACTTTCTAGAGAACCTCTGACTCATTCAGTGACTCCCCACACTGCAAACACTGTGCTTCATCATACACACTCTTTAGCTGGGGCCACAGATCACTGAAAATAAGACTCAATTCTAGATCATTCTCATACTGGAACACTGATTTCATTAGAGGTTAAATTATTGATGCTTTCCTGTTCAGGTTCTCTCTTCTGCTAAAGCAAGATCATTGCTGGAGAAGCTTAGACAGAGCCCAGTGTGGTGAGACAGAGCCCTGAGAGCATCAACACAGAGCTACAGACTATCAAAAAAAAGATAACTTAGTTATACTTCATGGATGAGTTTTATTTTCCTCCCTTTCAGACTATTTTAGGCATGGAAAAAAAAAAGAAGATAACTTAGTTATACTTCAGGGATGAGTTTGATCTTCCTCCCTTTCAGACTATTTTAGGCATTGCTTTCCTTTGGGGTTCCAATTGTGATTAAAAACACTGTCCTGCCATCTGGCAAGTGCCCCATGCTGTGAGGAAACAATATGGGTTGTGCCAGCAGGA